CAATAGTCTTCAAAATTCACACGGAAAAATGCGAGATTTTGAAATCCGACAGAAAGAACACCAACTCAATCATACTTGATTGTCCGAGCTCACTTTTATCAAAATATTGATCATTTCATAATTTATATTTTATATCAATATTAAATCGATAATAACTGATAAAAATCTTCTTATAACTATCAATATTATTGTACGACAGTTTTGAGTAGTGCAAGGGTGAAGGTGTGAAAAATATTCTCCTTAGTGAGTGGTTGGGTTAGAATGTTATTCATGATAAACAAACTGTTGATTCTATCGAAGCGTCTACTTGACCTCATTTACATACGCGCGAAATGGAAGTTCCAAAACAACGCTTTGTCTACAATAGCTGTTCTTTTTCGAATAATTCACAAATTTTAGTTACATACCTCAACTTGTGAGGTGTCTGTGGCGTTTAAACGCATCCTTCAAGCATAAAGATAAAAATCTTCCTGTAACAGCAACATAAAGAATAATTATAACATACGATATTACAAAGGACAGCTGATAGCTGTGTCTAAATTTGATAGCAGTTTATGAACAACCGAAACCGGAACCAAGAGCAAAACAATATGGAAACTGTTGCGTTTAAACAAATGCACGAAACTGTGGATAAACGTTACAGTGGTTAAGGTACAGTAATTATAATGATGAATACAATGATAAGTACAATAATGTCATAAATATATGTGAATAATTCAGAATAATACACTACAACTTGCGTTACAACATAAGTGTAAAATTGTTGGGAATACAATTGCTTACTGAATATAAATAAGTAGTACAAAACAATATACAAAAGAGTGGAAAGGAAACGAGTAGGAACAATGTAAGCAAACTTAACACAAACATCAGCTAGAAAAGTTTAAAGTCTTTTTAGGTGATTAATCAATGGTGAAGTACTAGTTTTCTCAAATTTTCTCAAGATATAGATTTCAAATACCGGAAGTATTACTTTTTATGCTCAAGACAAAATAACTCACTTTTTCATATTCTGATAACATAATCCTTATATAAACACAACTAATTTTTAAAATTTCTATTTGATTACATTAGTACATCGTTTTTCTACTTTCTTTTAGTTCATAATGTTTTGTACATTTGACTGAATGATTTAATAGTCTTTTAAATTTTACATTATCGTTGAATCATTTTTAATTATGTGATTACGTAACAGAATACAAACAATTTCTGATAAGCCATGTCGTTATCTTCATATAAATTAATCATTGTTTGTCACGAATGATTTAGAAAATTTGTATTCCACATCCATACGGCTAATAGTAAAACTGTGCTCGCTAAACAACATGATTTAGTTACAATCTTTTTGTGGTGTGTGCTTCTTATATCGACATAAGTAGTATATGACCTTACTCGTGAACAAAATGTCTAGCAGTAGAGAGACAAGAGGATTGAACAGTAAAGAATGGAAACAGAATGCAATTTGTATGAAAATGCAGGAACAATGAAGTCTGAGTCATTTCAAGACAATTGATGGACAGTTTGCAAATTAAGCGTTTGCTTTATGATTGTTAGATTTTATTAACAGATCCATTCGATTGTCCCCACTGGTGTTCTGTTCACTACATTTTCCCTGTCGTTCTTCACAATATCATCGCTATTCTCTTGTTATCACATTGATGAAACAAGCGTTATTCTCCCTGTAAAGCTCATCAATTTTTATTATTCAGCACGAACGGAAATTAGTTACATATACAAATAATTTACCAGTGTATATTCTTCGTAGACAATATCGAAACTTTTAAATACCTGGAAAAAATTTGGGAAAGTTTGATAGTAAACTGCAATCATTGTCTTATCGAAAACTAATGGCGTAGCGAAGGGAAACAACAAAACATTCGTCTGAGCATAAATAACAGAATATATCTCTATATAAAATGTAGGACTAAGTAAAAAGTGTGATAATAATACTGACCACTATTTGATTCGACTTATGATCAAAATACTTTATATTGAGCGTTTGAAAAGGTAGATATATCATAATATTTCTAGACATCATTTCTAATGGTTTACAAAATGACAACAGGAAAAAAAAGAAGCACTATTCTGGCATATTTTATTTAATAGTGATCACTATACCTACATAAAGAGAATTCTATCAGAACAATCCAATGTCTCAAAAATTCGTCTTATGCACACAGCACAAGTTATAGGAGATCGCATAAATATACCAAACCTTTGTGTATAAAAAAACGTTTGACTTGTTTTTCAGTTTACTCTGATTTCCCATTGAGATACCCTCACATTTTGTAATGCGTTTTTGATTTTCTCTACTTTATTAGTACTGGGGAGCTTGTGGCGATTATAGAATATGCTTACTTTAAATCAAGAACTGAGCTTGATTAGAAAACCATTGAAAACCTGAAAGCGTTGGACAGCGTTTTACGTGTATGTTTTTTAGTATGTTTTTGTACTTTTTCACAAAGCTGCAAACAGATTGACTTCTTTTTGATGCACTCATCCCAAGGTCATTCTTAACATCTTTTCAAACCGTCTTCACATTTTACCGTTAGTTATAATAAAAGTGATTCAATTAATGTGTAGTTCACACCTTTTTGAACGTAAAAAGATAAAAGCGAAAATTCGACCGAATTTTATTTGTATTATTTAGAACTGAAAGGGTTATGTGTTGGGTTATCTATTACTAAGTCTGATTCATTGGAAAGTCGCTGACATCCAGTGAACATCAGTATCTGTAAAAACAGTTCAATATTAGTATACCGAAATAAATATTATGGAGAATGATACGTAAACAATTAGAATATAATGTCAGTAATATGACAGTCAGTGATATTGTTACAAATGGACAAAGTGAAAAACATTTCAACTTCTTTGCAAACTTATTTTATTCTATTCCCTACCAAAGATATCTTCAAAATAATGTAATGAATGTTAACTTTAAAGAAGTTTATCTGTAAAAGGTTTATAATCAAAATTACTGAATGTATTACGCAAGCATTAAATACGTTACAATTGTCATGAGCCAAGCAACTGGCTACATACGGTCTTATTTGGCAATTTAACCAGGAAAGCGATCCCATATTCACTTATCTCTGTGTGTTGGCAAGTTTTGAACATTAAACCTTTGGTTCCTTTTTGAACTGTTCTCTGTCTTACGTTTTGCCATAATTGAATAACTTCTAGATAGTAGTTTAAGAAATGTGAGAAGCAAAAAATCATTGATTTATCACATGACGAAAGTTAGAGATGCAGATTATTAGATATTGACTTAATTAACTCAGGGTACTGTGCGAGCCACAAGACTTAGAACTCCTGAATTCTGTATTGATGATGTAGTGGGTACTTACTATTTGGGAGTCTCGGGCCTGTAATGATTCAGTTATTCATTGCACTTCAGTTTTCTATGATTATTTAGTTTAAGTCCGTCCATGATGTTAACTTAGCTGAAAATGTTTCTTACCACTTTATAAAATTAACCTATAGATTTAAAAGTGACATTAGGTTATATTATTGATTTGTTTATGAATGAGAAATTTAAAAAATAAATTTCTAAGAAAAACTTTGTACCACATTATACATAGACCGAAATTTTCTGACTGAATGCAGGAAACTGTAAAGCTATTTTCGTAAGATTGTTACAAAACTGAAAGAGAAGCAAAAATTAATACAGATTATAATTTCATATTTTTCCCACCAAAAAATGCATTTACACATATTTATAAGATCATGAACACATACGCACAGAAACTATATACTTAACGACACTTAATATCATGCACTTTGTGTGTATACTCAGATGAATGAAATCAAAGTATATCACACTAATGATTGGACAATGAATTTACTTATTTTTTAACATTTTTTTTCTAATAATTAGTTTTATTATTATTATTAGTAGTAGTAGTAGTAAATGAGTTAAACGCTTACAATCAAAAACCTATAAGAATACTGATATCAATAATTACATATATTTATGGAATGTAGTACCATCCAACAAGAAATTTTAAATTTGTGTACCAATTCAATTTTATCAATTGTATGTGAGTGCGCAGGTTCTGTGTGTTAATCGTATTGAACGTTGAACATGATTATATAAATATAAATATATATATATATATATATATATATATATATATATATATATATATATATATATATATATATATATATACAGCAATCATACATATATATTTGCACTCAATTATTTAAATAAATCAACACACTGGTTTACGTACAGATACATACCATTTCATACATACACATACCCACTTTGTAAGCATACGTAATATGATATAATAAACAGTAGAAACACAGGAAACGATGATATTCACTCCGGCCAAAATGATCAGCGACGATTGTCTGTTATTTTATTTTGTGATTTGAATATATTCCAATTATTGCATCCTATGGTTCACATAAAATATTGTTACATAATTATTTATTCAATATTTAACTAACAGGAATATTAGCAAAATCTTTCTGAAAATTGTATGGAAATTATATTATTACTCAATTGGTGAACTGAAATTTTAATCACTTAGAAAAGACAAAGACAAGAACTGTTGAAACCATAGAGGATTTTGACAATCATAAACCACGTTATTATTATTATTATTATTATTATTATCAACAACCACGGTGACAAAGTACAAAACGAAATTAGAACAAAAACATTAATCAGAACTACGCAATAGAACGGGGTGATGCACGAATTATTATTTTTCTTTGAAATCTATTTTCTTATACATTATGCATGGGAATTTGGATAAAATTACATTGAATCTTTTAACTTCTGTGAAAACAATGTAATATTGTAGTTTATGTGTGAACTTTGAATTATTTATTTCAAAGAGTGGAAGGCAGAAAGTGAAAAATAGATAATAAAAAAAATTGAGAACTCAACGTTTGATTTATCAAATCAGTAATTATTTAATTAATAAATTTATTGAATTATAAGTAACAAACAAAACAAAATAAGTAAGATCACTTTGAACAAATTCATGTTCAATTCCCAGTGGACGTTGTCAAACTTATCACTATTATTATCAGCTGTTCTGAATTTATCGGATATACTACAACAACTACAACTACTACTGATAATAATAATACTGGTAGTGCTACGACTGTTATTAATATCATTGAGTTTAATTCATTATTATTTTAATCATTCATCTCATTGTTATCTCACTGGTATCTTTGAGTGGTTTAGTAACTATCTACCCTCATCACATTTACTCACTTCCCTTTTTTCTTATTTCGTGGAGTTAATATCACTGCCATCCTCAGCACTGACATCCTCCTCGTTACTATTACTGTCATGGATATTCTGCATATTGTTTGGTGCTTTAAGTATATGGTTCTGGAAATCAGTACGTTACCTCAGTACACGATTATATCATCAGAAGTATATACTACTATTTTTCGGAAACAGTATTAATGATATTCGTAATTATAGAATTTACAGTAAAATAAATGTCATACTACTTACATTGCACACTGATTCAATCATTTCCATATATAATTTTATCAGTGTATGGAATTCAATCGATACATTGAAGAGTATAATAGAAACATCAAAAAGACTTATACAACGTAAACGCTTAAGTCATGGAATGAGTACATTATTCACTATATACTTTGGATTATTAATTTATGTAGAACTATGTGGATTTAATTATGCTGAAAGTAGACCGATTTCAAGTGAAAATGAACGTAGATATGGTAATTTAGATTTACATCCGGCTAAATCATCATCACAGCAAAAGACACCAAAAGTTGTTATGCCACCATATGACCTTGGGTTCAAAGGCCAAAAAACTGACGAACTGAACAAACCAAAATTATATCCACTGTCATCATCATCATCATTATCCTATCCTTCATTTTTGAGTGATTTTAATGATAAATTCGATCAAATGAAAGGTTTTCAGTCGGATGAAACATATGTAAGAGATTCTCAAACACAGCAGCAGCAAAGAAAACAACGCTATCAGAGAGTAAGTCGTGATAATTTTAACTCACAAGAAGAGACCGACAATGATGATGATGACAATACTGTCGAATTTTTCAATACACGTTTGATGTATGATTCCAAGTTGTCTCAATCTAATCATATTAATAAGAATAGTGTAAGATCATACGAACAATCTCCGTCGGTATCCTCATCAATACCGTCATTAACAGAAAGAGAGAAAAATGAACGACTTGACTATAGAAGAGTAAACCTTGCACCTTCTAAATCAACAATACAAAAACAGATATTATATTCCCCTTACGATCCATATATAAGAATGAATAATTATCAAGAATCATTTTATATACCTGACCAACAAATTATGTATGAAATGAATACCCAACAGTACCCCAGCGAACAAGAGAAGACATGGACCAGAAAAGATAATAATAATAAGCCATATCAACGTCATGAATTATATGATGATTATACAGTTCATATGAATCATGAAAATCCGCCTAGTTGGTTTCCTTTTCCCAATTATCAAAGTAATAATAATAATAATCCACTAAACAATCGACCATTGTATTCACAACAATCAAAAATACCACGCCAACATCAACTATCTTCAAGTTTAAATAGTTACTCATATTACAGCAATCTAAACAAAAATATTGACAGTAATAATGACAATAATAAACGTAATCCATTATCATATTTTCCTGAGATTTCGGATATTCAATTATCTCATTTAATTTATCAATACCAAATGGAATTATTACGTCGACAAACTGGACGTTTACCCGATACTGATTATCAAATGGAGCATAATTACTATGGTCAACCAGTTGAATCGTCTTCACAACATTTACCTAGTAAGTTTATTACGTCTTAAAACATAAGTCTTTTAGACGTTTATGGTTTGTATGTAAAATAATCCGCAATTGATTGAAGGGGTCAACTGAAGATATAATGAATTTCAGCTAACACTTTTATCTTGTTGGTTATATCGTGGAGTGGTCTTAGTTACACAACCATTAAAACCCAAAAAGCTTTTGATAGCTGTTTTGTCCATCTGTGGAAGTCCGGGAGTCAAACCCAGGACTGCTAGATCTCCTGAAGGATACTTAACTCTTGGACCACTAAGCCAATACCCGAATGTTTTCATTTATAACTTTTATTAATTTGCAGTATTGTACAACCATCATGTATTCCTGTTGGTGGGTAACTATCTCACACCCAATATGGTTGAACTTCACGGACTAAAAACTCCGGTCAGTGCTCCTGAAAATAACTTTTGAAATTAGTCATTAACTGGTGTATGATTATGATTATTCTAAGAAATTTAAAGTTTAATCTACTGCCATGAAGTATGAAGGTCCTGGGTTTTATCCATGGTATGGTCATGGATGAGGACTCTAGAAGATTTCTATACTGCGAATTTTCAGCTGTGTGGTGTATCCTTGATTCCATCAGTTATTTAAATAAGGTCCATTTGTGATGTTGCCTACAAAGTTCACTCATCCCTATGAACCCCATGTCCTAATACTTCTTATATCTGCTCACGATTCCTCCTTATTAAATTTCACATTTACCTACTTACTTACGCCTGTTACTCCCAATGGAGCATAGGCCTCCGACCAGCATTATCCAACCCACTCTGTCATGGGTCTTCTTTACTAGTTCCATCCGATTCTTGTTCATTTTTCTCATATCTATCTCCATTTCCCGGCGTAATATGTTCTTTGGTCTTCCTCTTTTCCTATGACCTTAAGGATTGCATGTGAGGGCTTTTCTTGTGATACAGCTGGGTACTTTCCTCAATGTGTGTCCTATTGATTTCCAGCGCTTCTTCTTGATTTCTTCCTCCACTGGGATCTGGTTTGTTCTCTCTCACAGTAGGTTGTTGCTAATAGTGTCCGGCTAACGGATCCGAAATATTTTGCGTAGACAACTTTTATTAAACACGTGTCTTCTGGATGATGGCTTTCGTAGTTCTCCAGGTTTTCGCACCATGCACATTTACAACCATGTGATTTCTGTATAATCTAAAACTAAGAAGCTAACCTCTAATTAAATTACCTGTTACAAAACACGGAACTTAAAAATAATAATTGCATTAAAGTATATGTACAGTGTATTTGAGCACGAACTTGGTGATAAGCTATAAAAAGCAGTTCAGGTATTTCCTTATGTAGGTACCTGTATTAGTGTTGTTAATGTTGAATCAGATTCTGCCAATTTAGATATAACGATCGCATGTACTATAGCTTGCTTGTGACCATAAGAGGTTTTGTTCATAGGATTGTGATGAGAATATTTTATGGCGATATCACGTGCATTGTACTTAGTTCTTATAATGTATGTCCAGTTACTGAACTAATGATGAGTCAGCAGGTGTTGTCATCTTAAAACTTCAGCTTGGTAAATTACACATCAAGAGTATCGTTACAGTTAACTTTTGTACAGTCAATCAAATAAAGACGCAAAGGCGGTGGAGAATGTCAAAATGGTCTCATGTTTATGGCATAGCATGGTGAAAATGTATGTGGTTATGTTAAGTTAGTATCAGTAAGTCCATTACAAGGTACAGAGGTTTTGTTGATTGGTATAATAAGAAGTTATTGATCCCTATTGGGGTTATGGGTATACATTACTAGGGAGACCCATACTAAGAAGAAATAACTTCCCAGTGTTCGCTGATTTTCAATGGTATCCCAACTGAGAAATAATAGTGTTGGTAACTTCATAACTCAAAGTTTATAATTTCCGATACTTTTCCATCTTTATCTCCTTTAATGACTTTCTCCAATGTATTTCTTTCCAATGTTATCTCTTCGCTTCATAAGCAACATATCTTGGTGATGTATTTTACTGAGTATTTGCGTTGTAACATGAAAAAAATTACGCAAAACCTTGTCAAACTGATGATTTATTAAAGTCAGTAAGTGATCCCAGTTCATGATAAGTTATAGTTGATAAAAACCTTGTAATTTAAGTCCATCCAATAAAAATATTAATAATAATAATAGTAATAACAGTGATTTTACGTAGATGTGGATGGCAGTTAGTGGTGCAATCCAGGACATGCGTTCCGTCCTATTCAGGACTCATCAGCTGGATAAACCGAGACCCCAGAGTTGATGGTCACTCCGGGACACGAATTCAGTACTGTTCAGTTCAAACACCATCACATAATTCACTGGCTGTTCTGGTTTTTTCAGTTGAAGTTTAGAATTAGAATTGATAAGACACTTTTGGAATATGTGTATATTGTGTGAATCGCCTTGATATTTCCTTAAGTTACAGGCATTATGAGCAGAATTGGGACGGTGACTAGCAGGTAATTCACATAGGATGCATAAATGCCAACATTCTGAAACATCATCGGGAATATTCAAACAACCCATATATATGGATTGAAATAACAATAATAATATTAATAGCAGTAGGAGTATTGATAGTGATACTTCTATCACTTTTAGACCCATTCGTTACAGTAAGTGATTATTATTAGGTTTACTTAAATAATAAAAGAAATACATTTTTCTTTCTGATTTCCGTTCTGTCTCTTAATAAAGACTTGCATTTAGAATATTTGCATTCCAGGCTTGTGCTTAGAGATTTTATATTAAACTAGTTTACTTTACCAACTTCAAACTCAACTATTCTTTACCCAATAATTTAGGAACTGAACTCTGACTGTCTGAAATACATGAGGCTCGTCTGATCGATCTGTTTCAAATGGTTAACAAGTCATCAGCCATTTTTAACGTTATCAATTGGTAGAAGTAATCTCGTGTTTCAAAGATAATTTTTACTGCCCTGACAAAATCCTGTGATGCTTTAAAATTTGCGTATGTATCTCTATCATTACCAGAAAATGTTTGCGTTATCTCGTTGCTCATATTTTTAGCTGAGATTTGGTCGGTCATTGTTGGCATGTATGTATCCTCTACGGATTAAATCGATATCAGGATTTTGTCACAAGTTTTTATAGAATAGACGGATCGTGTCTAGCAGTGGAACCGAGGATGCGCATTTCGTTCTCTACGATAGAATGTTGTAATTATCATGCCTGTTGCACGATTGAGTGACTGTTTGAATTTAATAGCTTAGAAGATAAGGGATTGGCCGTTTTAACGACAAGGTACTAAGTTTGAGTCCTCATAAGAACACGAAAGCTGGAACTTAGGTACATCCAACTGTGTACCGAATAGTACGAAACGTGAGTATTGGATTCTATGGCTAATCACAGCCGGTTTGTTCTGCAAAACTTAACTGACCTTTGAAAATGTTGAATTTAAACGACATACCAAAAGACAGATTGACCAATGATGGAAGAGCTAACTCATTGAAGGAGATACTGATTGTAATCTCTTGGAATAATGTTGACTCGTCAATGTATAAAGCCAAAAAAAAGTATTTTCGCGTACCTATGACAGTTTTTAATGTACAATCTAATAATAACTTAATGTACATGTATAAATTAATTTATATGCTAGAAATCCATATATTGTATTTAAGAAGAAAATTATTTTTGTATAAATCTCGATTGAATTTAAAGTAAATTCATTCTTTCACTTAGCAGTCTGGTTCAAGCTTCTTTAAAGGGAGATAATTAAACTTTAAAGTCATCATATTTAATCAATGGTTCTTTTATTTGTTCTTATCAGTTAAATTGTCTAGATGGATGGTAAACAACCAAGTCATTTAGCACAACCACTTAAACTTATATTTACTTGTTTCTTCATTTTCATTCAATTCATGATGTGACAAGTTTGCTAGATAGTATTTATTACCTTGTCTAATTTTATCAACGACCATAACCTGAGGCCATATAAAGTTCATGAAATTTTCTGACATCAGATCTGAATATACTTCTTATATCCGTTTATCCTACCAAATCATCCATGAAGACTACAACAAATTCCATATTCAACCATGTTAATGTGATTTTACGACATCTTTATAACAGTTTTTGAACTATATTTTTATTTTCGATATTTTTAATGCAGAATTATTTCCCCTTAAGGAGGCTTGAAACAGACTGCTAAATGAAACATTCTATTTACTTGAAGTTAAGTCGCTGAGAGTTTTAACCAATATAATTTTATTCTATTAATGTCTTACATTAACTAGACGTCCAACTACTATAAAACCATTCGTTAGAAGTCAAATAAATTTCTAAATTTTGTTTTGGTGAACAATACATCGCTTCAATGTTTTTCAGGATATTTAGTAATATAATGTTCAAGTTTATAAACAATTTTACAATTAATTTATAAATCTCTAACTGTATGTATGTAAGCAGATGAGATTTAAGTACTTTATGAAACATCATGAAATAGATAGTTTACTGATTACAACACTTATCTTTCAGCCATCAGATTGAAAGCTCAAAACCCCGCCTCACCTACTTTCGTTCTAGGTAGACCGATAGTTTTGCTAGTATTTTCGTACAAAGGATCTAATTACCAGATAATTTCTTGAAACTTTGTAAATAGTTTTTGCTAGCTTGTCTCAAAGTACAATGTTTTCTTTATAAATTGATTTCTGGTAAATTCATTTTAGAAAAAATTATATGTCTGCCATTGAATTTAGAAATAATAGTTGGAGCTGTTGGCAATCTTTCACTAATCAATAATTATGATGTGGTTAACGTTTTCGGTCGTTTTTCCATCTATCTAGTGGATGAGTAACACATATAGAAGTATAATTTCACTAAAAATTCATTTCCGGCGTCTATAGCTTTTCGCAACTAAATCCTATAATCTTCTGAGTATAGCATAGCCCACTATGCCCGATAAAAGCACAAATGTTGTGCACGTTACGATTTGACATGATAATCACACTAATATGCAATACCCCATCC